TAAATCCAACTCGTCATCTCGTGAAGAGAAGCATTCATCCCATTGACATTCTTGCAAACCGGTCTCAGAACCAGTTTCTGTCTTTCTCCCCCTTTGACCCAGACTAGTAATTATCCATCTTGTTAATCATATTGGATTTCATCCACCTTGTCAATCAGACTGGATTCCAAATGATTTCAGAGAATTTTTCAAAAAATCAAATTCATCCTCATGAGTTAGGTTTACTAAAAATAAAGAGCTACAGTCTTTGGGGACCTTCTCTAAAAGAAGCTCCCAAATGTTTGAAGCAATGACAATATTATCTAAATAATTGTATGGTTTCCCTGGTGGCTGCTTTGAGGAATCTAAAACTGATTTAAAAAACATAAACAAATGGTGAACTGTGGAAACACTTTGTAGTCTATTTTACACTCTGCTGATTTGCACAGCGACTTCTAAGAGCCTCGATGTTATTTCCTTTCTGACAGGCAAGGCACGTGAGCACACACAGGTCAAGGATTTTGTTGACCGAGGTCACTGCAAGTCAGTGGAGCAGGGAGATGTGATTCCAAACCCTACCTCCTAGGGTATAGCTTATGTCCCTGCATTTGTACATTAGCTGATCAGACACATTTTTCCCCTCCTGTTTCAGAAATAGCATAGTATTCTGGCTTTCCTGTGATGTTTTCTTTTTCCTTCCCTGGCATGGCCTTTAAAGAATTCCTCCGTTCCAAAAACCTGAAATTTTGCTTCTAGATGTGCTGGCAGGGTCATCATCAGGGACTTCCAAAGACCGCAGAGTAACCAAAATAATATGGAAGAAACTGTGTTTCAATTGAGCCCACATGGTACTTGGACCCAGCCTTCACTTACAGAGTATGAACGATGAATAATTTTAAAATAACACACACTAAAACTTACAGGTATTATTCCTGTCCCTTTAGATTTCCTACACAGTGTTCAACAAGCTGAAAAGGGTGGGAGATCTTTCCAAATGTGTTCTCTCCCCATGCAATCCCATGGCCTTCCGACTCACTGCAGACTGCTGTGAGGCCGAGGAACTAAATGTCTGGTCCTACACATGACATACATTCCTGCCTATGCAATTCAAACAACTGTCAGCGCTTTTAACATCTGCCAAGTCCAAGTGCTATTTGCAGGACTGTGATGCTGAGAGCCTGGGCATCTGCTTAGTCTGAGACTGTGATCCCAGTAAGGAGCTCTTGCTGCAGACGCCTGTTGACCCCAAGGCCTGGCCCCAGGCCAACAGGACATGTGCTTGCCAGGCCACCCGGGGAAAGGTCTGCTCCTCTTGCCACAGCACACACTTTTTCAGCAGGGAATTCTGGCCTGAGAACCCTGCTTGATTAGAACAAGTTCTTCAGGCTCATAGAAACCAGGGCTGGGTCAAATATAGGACAGGCAAACCATATGCCCCTAAGAGTAAATAAGGTGGTTTCTCTCTGTCTTTAATTTCTCCTCATTTCAGAGAGTTGCAGGCACCCCACAGACCTCAGATTGGGTTGAATAGCATTGATTAGTACATGTATCAGATCCTAGTCTTGGTTAGTTTGCAGGTTGAAAGAGTGAACTAATATGTCTTTTAAATGGAGCAAAGGGGAATGATACTTCTATTGCTATCATTAGGTAAATCTGGAGGACCTCTAGTGGCTGAAATTTCCAAGCTACAAGGTAAGAACCCAGAGATTGTTGGGGAGACACCCCAGGCTGGGTGGAGTACAGAGGGGTGATGGAAGGGCATGCAGCGGGCACAGGGACTCTAGCTGGACCCTCAAAGGCAGAATTCTGCAGGCTGGTGAGTGGTGTGGGGAGGATTCTTCAACATTTCAAAGTTCCACTAAGTTCTTACACTCTATCAGTTTCCCAGAGTGAAAGAATGGTTCTTTTTTTCCTTTTTCATAGTATTCTCGCCCAGATACAAAAGCTCAGCGATTGTGGAAATAAGATTTCTACAGGCCTGATGTACTTTTTAGCAGGTATCAAAGGTTTTACCCCCAAATAATATAAAAATTATTTGATTTGCAATGCTTTTCAAAGAAGTTCCCAAACAGGGACAATTTAAACACAAATCATTTAGACAGTTATGAAATGGTGGTTTTATTAATCCAGCAGAAAAAGTAGATTGCATCCTAAATTTTTTGCTGGTTATGGTTCAAACTTGACATTCTAAGTGTCAGAAAAGATGAAAAAAGTAAAAAAACTTTTAAATATGTTTCCTTGAGCATCAAACATATTCTAAAAAAGGAGTACATCGAGGATTTCCTCTAATTTCTTAGTTTCTACACTTTTTATCTACAAAATGAGGATAATCTTGCCTCCTAAGGTCTGTCTTCAGCACTAAATGAGATATCACACACAAGATGCAAAGGCTGTATATGACACTTGGTAACACTCTGTATAAAAAAACTTGATATAGTTAGGTCCCGAAGAGACAGACTGATGCTACAAGGTTTATGAAGACAGAATTACATTACTTAGGGCACAGCTACGTAGAAGAAATGCGAAGGAAACCCGTAAATTCCAGGCTCTATATTTTAGAATTTGAAATTTGAAAGTGAAAGTGTAATTTGAAACAAGACACATAAAAAACACGTGAATTGAGAAAATAGGAGGAGGATGAAATCCAGCACTGCTGTCTAGGTAGATTTATGTCCTCCTACATTCACCTACTCAGAACAAGCATGATTAGCTGCTAAAACTAATGTGAAGACGCTGCAGTTTCACTACATGTGCAGGGGGGAGAGATGCAGGCCAGCCCCTGGGGGTCCACTCTGCTCGCTATGTGGCCCCAGAAGTTATAGGAATTAAATCCCTCCTTTAGTAAAATGAAGCATCAGAAGTAGTTATAATGAGATTTAAAAGTCTTATAATTTTATATGTCACCTCAAGAAAGCAAAGTAAAGCCCAAATCAATATATATATATAACATTCTTACTTTAAATGAGTCAAGCTTCATTATTTCATTTTAACAAAAGGGAGGGATGAGAGCCCCATTTAGGGAATAGCTATCACAGGTGGATTGTCAAAATATGTTGTTTTGTTATTTTCAGCAAAGTATGAATAAAAAGTACCATTAAAGTAAGGGGGAAAAAATCACTGGCAACATATTTTGTATTAGCCTACCTTATTTCAAACATAGCTGCTAAATAAAGTATCCCTCAGCCTTTTAAAAACTTAATCTTAACAATTAAACTGAATAGCTGAATATTAGGAAGCATTCCTTCCTGTCATGATTCGAAATTGGCCGGGGTCAGGATCCTCTGAGACTTTGATAACTTAAGGCTCCTGCTAGCCAGCAGGTGCAGGGCCCACACATTCAATGCTGAATACACTTCCAGGCAGTTCACAGAAACCTCACAGCCATCCTCGAACTCTTCAGATGTCTACAAAGCCCCCATTAAGAAGCTGCACCTTTATAGTACCTCACAGCTTTAAAAATGAGAACTTTATACAGTAGTATTAAAACGGTTTTCAGAAAGATACAGATCAACTAAAATTTACTGAAAATAGGCAAGTAAATCAAGAATTATCACACAGTAGATAGACACAGAACTTCATCCAAAGTACTAAGTCCCAACAGAAAGAATATTCTCAAAGATGGGATGTCTCCTTTAAAAGACTTTGAAAGAAGCGGGTATAATATCAGTATCTCCCAGTGGAAATTTACCCCAGGAATATTTTCTGATGTATAAGACATCAGAACTTGTTTGTATGTGATATTTATCATTCATTTCCTTAAATCCGATCTCTTTCCTCCTCACCTAACCAGTTATCGATACTTGGATCTCTGGGATCAAACCCTCTCTGGGCCCAGGTTTTGTGCAGGAGGACTTCATGCCCAAATAGGCCAAACTGTGTTCCCTGACTCCAGACATCACTCTTCATATTTAACTTTCCTTCAGCAACTTCTCCTATGTCTCCTTGGCCTAGCAGGCATAATTTATTGTGAATTTTAAGTAAAGGTGAAAAGTAAATAAGAATTAACAATCTTATTAATTTTTTAGTTAAGAAAGGCTCCATCCATGTGATATTTTATGAATAATGTTCAAAAAGCTTGGCTTGAAAAACAGAAGAATTTTTAGTGTAGTTTGATATCCACTGTACAGTCCTGGGCAGTTTGAAATGCACCTAGAAAAATAAAAGCGGCCAGTGCTTGACAGGAGAGGAGGAGGTGAGAAGGGAGGGTCCAGGTTAGCAGAACTACAGCAACAGATGCAGGAAATTGTTCTGCTGATTATAGCGGGAAGCTGAAGTGATCTTTCTTCACCTAGTTTTCCTATTCCTCCTGCATCCTGCTGCTTCATTCAGCTGCGGCCAAAGGCTAACAAGGAAAATACAGCTCCCAAATAATGTTCCTCTTATTCTCTGTATCTGTCCCATTTACATATGTTCCCTCGGTCCTACATCATTCTTTTGAATGGAACGAGGTTACAGTGTTATTTGATACTCAAATATAATCCTTCATAATTATTACCTGATACAAAATTTCTAGATACAGCTTAGAAAAGTCATCCATTTTACTTCCTGTAAACAAAACTTAGATTCTAATCCCAGAGATGTATATCCTATATGCAGATTTATCTTCATCCGTCTACATAAATTCTACACATTCACAAGCGGTTTGTGTGTTCAGGTTGAATAGTGTGTGTCTGAAAGGCAAAGAGCCAGATCTCAGCTCCCATCCCTAGACAGTCAAAGAACCGAATACAGAACAGAAATTGGGACAATTGAAGCAAACAAATGAAGCAAGCGAAAGTCGGTTTGTTTGTTTCTTCATCTGAGTCTGGAAGTGACACCCACTCAGCGTGAGCACACCAGGCGCTGGGACAAACGGGGTTTACTCTCTAATACCTTGACTTCCCAGAATTGTTCTAGTATAAAATGCCTGCATGCAGTTGAATTTGTGATTTCTTCTCTGCCCATCACCCAGATCTTTTTCTAAAAGCAAGTTGTAAGCTCCTCCCCAGCAGAATTTCTTTTCAATCATTAAATTTTATTACCTTTCTTTAATTGACATGGTTTTGCCGGTTGAGTCAAGGGTGCCCTCCCCCACTGGCGTCTTGATCTCTCCAGCAGCAAACATTGCACAGGGAGTCTTATAGTGCCTCTCCTGCAGTTGTTCTGAAGAGTCTTGTTGCTTCCAGGACACTGGGGTTGTGGTCTGAGCAACAGGTTTTCCAGCATCTGTCTCTGTCTGCTCAGAGGTGGGCTCCCCAAACTCTGCTGCCAGGAAGGAAAGAAGAGACATCAGCCCTTACTCCTCCAGGCACACATTCTTCCAGCTCTTCACCCCGACAGTGCAGCACTTGGAGTTCAAACCGTGGGCACATGGTGGTTACCCAATCCACTCGGACTTATGCAAATCTGTAGCATGCTACACTCTGTGAGAAAACCAGTGGATTCCCCCCCACAGCAAAATGCTTTGTGACAATCACTCCTTGTGCTAGACACAGGATGTTAGCTTTAACTATACACTACAGAATGTTTCCACTTCTCCAAAATAATACTCTAGCATTTCAAATGTGCTACATTCACAAACCAAAACCCCTATTATAACTTAAACAGTATCATTTTATATAAATGTAGAAAGAGGATCAAAGTCCCAGGCAGTGTAGTTTGCTTGTCTGCAAATCAGGAGGGTAGAAATAGTCTGGAAATCCAGAAACTGGGTTCAAGTCCTTATTCCCTCAGCTTTTCCAGCCCTGGACCTTGTCAGTCATCAACTTATAAAAGGAGCAGGCAGAGCTAAGCAGCTCAGAAGGCTGCTATGTAAGTTCATGTGACCAATGTCGTCAGAAACCTTACTAAGATGTGCAAAAGGGCTTCCGGTGTTTTTATTGCTGACAAATAGATAAATCCACTAAAAATGTCAGATTCAAGGGGAAGAAAAGTCTGGGGGAAGAGTATGATTCCCACTGACCTTTTAATCAATAATAGTTGTAGACTGTCTTTATAATTAAGTTAAAAGCACACACCAACACATGCAACAAATCAAGCAGAAACTAAAAGCGCAGATGGTTTCTAAAGCTTTAGGAGCAGGAGTAATTTACCTCTTAGTGAAAACTTCCTTCCCACGTCCACCTTCTCTTCAAAGGGCTGCCTGTCCTTCAGATCCGGGCTCCCTTGCACACTGCTTTTAGCAGTGGAAAATTCCTTCGGTTCATCACCAAGATGGGCCATGGGAGGATTAGCTAGTTCCAGGCTTCCTTTCCTTGGCACAGCATATTCAGTTTCCTTATGGCTGTCTCCTTCCCTGACCCTGTTCAGGATCGGGTAGGACAGTTCTGCTTCCTCAAAGGACCCATACTTCTTAACACCCCTGTCTCCACCTGTCAAAGCTCTCTTGCTTTCTGTCTCTCCAAATTCTCTCAACATTCCTTTGCTCCCACCACCCTCTACCAAAGGCTGCCAGGCTTGTGATTTCAGAATGCTTCTAACTGGAGAGTCTGAATTTTCTATTGAAGAAATAAACTTATAGTCAGTGGCACTTGTATTGTCATCAAGAGATGGCTTTGTCCGAAGATCCCCTGCATACATTGGAGCCACTGTTGATGCCACGGTGGATACACATGTGTTAACCGCAGGTGAGAAAGGAATGATTTTCCCACTTTGCACCTGAGGGGAGACATAGTTAATAAGTAAAAAGCTGATTGAAAATATTCCCTATCTAAATTCTGGTTTATGTATGGACAAAGACTGAAATACTATATTAGGTGCAGTTTCACTGCTTATCTTAGAAGAAAACCATTCGTGGACATAGTTATATAACATATCTCATTAAACAAAATTCTCTGGGTAAAAAGCAGGTTATGCATACTATTTTTTCTCTCCAGTATGGACTCAGTCCAGATGATTTCAGCAAGCAAATTATGAAAACAAGAAAAGAGAAACATACTTGGCATGGTTATCTTTCTTAGGAATGAAGCTATTACCAAATCACCTATAGATAACATAGTCTACTGGTAGATCACCTTCATAGATTACTCTTACCTACGAGTAATGCTGTGCTGCTATATTTTAAGAACACAGGCACAAGCTGGAATTAAATTATAGCGTACCCACCTGTTCCACCTCTCCAAGTGTGACTGGCTGAGTCTGATAGCGAGCATTCATTCTCCTTTGTCTTATGTCTATTCTGTTTCGGGTAGAAATAGCTTTTGAGACTGGCTGGGACAATTTGTTAAACAAGGCCAACTTCTCTGCTAAGCTCAAAGTGGAGGAATCAGGTTCTCCTGGTTCAGCAGAATCTTTGCCCTCATTTGTCTGGTCTTTGGCTGAAGCCTTTTGGTGAGCAGATGCCTGTAATCTGAAAGGAATAAAAAGTCAGTAACACAGATGCAAGCAAACAAAAGCCCTCTGCTAATTTTATATATTAACTTTCTTCAAAGCGTCATTTAATCTTGCAAAGGGCTTATTTTTCCCTATGTAAATTTCAGACAGGGGCAGGCAGTCTTTTAGCTATTGAACAAGACAGGGAAGAGCCGAGGTATGGGACACTGGCATTAACAATTCTACGAAGAGCAGATTATTAGCTCTGAAATACTTGCTAAAAATGCATTTTATATTTAAGGAACTCAAGCTGGTTTGGATATACCTTATCTTAGAAAGAGAAGTCATATTATTAGTGTTATAATAAATAAGGCTAACAGGAGTGCCAAGGCATTACCTATGGCATATTTAGACATTATCTAAAGATGTGGTTCAAAAGATGGTATTTTCATTTTAAATAATTATGAAACAATATAGTCATCTCTGAACAACATAATCTACAAACCCTACTCAGGGTTTTAATTTTTACTTGCTAAACACAAATGGTTTAATAGTAAAAGTTCTTTCACACCAGCGTAGAATTTTCTCTCACAGGTTTCTATCAATCTAAAAGGTACTTAAATCTGTAATTCCCAGAAACTTGAAAAGTGAAGAAAATTTCAGGCGATTATAAATCCTTCCAACTTCCAGCAAGAAGAGATGGAAGGTTTCCAATTTACATGGTCCCTGTGAATCTCAAAATGTTTACATGGCAGTATCCCTTCTGCCACTGGCAAATCCAATTCTCCGATCTGGTAAGAAGTATATTCTTCCTTGACTCTAATCGCCAGTTCACAAGCTGTCCCGGACCAGAGGGCAGGCTCTGTGTTCCAGGTGTACAACGCGGATGGTGATAAAGGTAACCTGAGCCTCAGAGGCCTTCTTGAGTCCAGTGCAGCAAACGGAGGGCAAGGACAACCCAATTCCCCGAAGAGATCCCTGCTTTTGGGTGACGCCAGCTTTACTCCTGCACTGCCACTTTCTTTTAATCTTACTTTCAGCCTTTGTGTTTTGGCCAATAACAAAGGGGAGACTTATATGGTTTAAGGACCTAATTTTAAAACACCACAATTTAAAACATAATAGTAAAACATCTACATTCAGACATAAATTGTTATCTTCCCAATCCCCAAATATAAAAGCATTATCTTCCTATAAATTAGAAACAGGGAGCATTGTTTTTTAACATGTGTTTGTGTCTACCTGTGTTTAAAAAAGCCAGGTCTTATTAGAATTTCAACATTCAAGTTAATGCCCCAGTTTTCAATGAATCTTTATTAAGTGCTAGTACTTTAGATGAAGAATGAAATTTTTTAGGGATGGCCATTATTATGAAAAACAAACAAATGGATGAGTGAGTTAGTGTGGTCCTAGTTCCAACACATCATGTAAGGAGATAGACTAAATGTTTTCGCATGCAGGCCCACATAAAATTATCAATACCTTGCCTTATGACAAAACAAAATGCCACAGATTCCCAGAACAACTCACTGCACTGACTTGTTTGTCAGACAAATGAAAGGCATTCAAGACTTTAAGATGCACCTGCTGCCTGGCACCTTTGCACGGGGTGCCGCATGCAGCTATTTCTGTCCGGTACCTGGCAGGCTGCACAGTGCTCCTAGCTACAGTGGGACTAGGAAGTCTTGCCATTACAGGGTGGGTGACCCCAGAACGCGAAGCCGGGGTAGGTTCACTTTAAAAGCAATTGCCAAAGAAGGAACATTCATAAGGAGAGAGAAGAAAAGAAGCATTAAGGAAAGCATACTTTTAAATTCAGAAACGTTAAATCAAATATCTTAATGAAATCATTTGCTAATTACTTTGGAACAAAAAAAAATCACAAAAGAACTAGAAAAACAATTACAAACTTAAGAAATGAGAGAGAGAGGCTACCCAAAGCAAGTAGAATATGAATAGGTATTTAGAGCTTGGAAAGGACTTACTGTCTTTAGAATAAATGTCCCAGCTCAAAAACATAATTTAGAAAAAGCTAATATTAACTATCAGTAGATCATGTTGAAAAAAAAAAAATTCATGTTTTTTCTGTTCTTAGAACACCGTTCTCAATTTATTGTTAAAAAGAATGAGTATCCTCATATAATCTATAAGCACATCAAAGTTGATTTATTGAGTCTTAATAGGTGATAATTTTTCCTTATATTTACTGTTTGCTTTCTTATTTTATACCAACCACTCAAATATATATATACATATATATATATATTTTAAAATTTTTTATTTTTTAAACAAACTGATTTTCTAAAAAAGTTCTAATAAGTGCAAGAATGTATGCAGGTACTTTAAAAAGTTCGTGGAAAAACAGAATTAAATAATAACACAAATCTTTCCATGAACTTTTTAAAGACCCCTTGTACTTGTACACAAATACACTAAGAAACTGAGGACCAGCTGGGGAAGAAAGTGAAGGCAGCTGATCTAACTGCAGGTTCACTGAAGTGGCTTCGACACAGAGGCCTCTTGGGATGTCAATGCCCTGAATGAGATGAACTTCATTTTTTTCCCCCCCAACAAAGGCATGTGTCTGTCCACGGGAGGCACAGAAACAATAGAAACAAACAAACAAACAAAAAAACCTAATACAAATTTTCATTTGAATGATAATTTTCAATTATCGCTGAATGAATGACTCTGGGAAATTACTTCTGAACATACTGAAACCTATTGCTCAAAACAGACTTCCTGTGGTTTAGAAAGTCATCAAAGTGCCAATTAATTTTTAAGTGTTCGGTGATTATTTAAAAACAAAACAAACCATTTTCTTTTAGAGATATGTACTAAAATATTTATAGATGAAATGATGTCTTGGGTTTGCTTGAAAATAGTGCAGGAGGAAAGGGAAAGACCGAGGCTGGCCAGGCGTTGACAACTGCTGAAGCTGGGTGTTCATACATTAACCCATCTACTTGCATGTTTCACATATGCCACTGTAAAAAAGATTGAAAAATATATAGACACAGAAAAAATAAATTAAACAAAATTCCTCTTGTGTTTTTCTAGGAGATAGAATAAGTAGCACATCCCATGACAAAGTTTAGAGAGAGAGCAGTAAACAAAATCCCTGCATATCAACTACCAACTTCTCTGTGGCTTCTGGCTAAGCCATCTTCCTACCACGTGTTTTTGTTTAAAAAAAAAGATTTAAAGAGTTTTAAAGACATTATAGCCAAGGCGGAGATGTCACGCTGGGGACTCACGTGGCAGCAATGACTACTTCCTCGGTGGTGATGGGCTGCGTGTGGGATCTGTCCTGCAGTCGGCGTAGCCTCTGCTCCACGGCTGTGTTTCTTGAGCGTCGCTTTGGAACATTTTGTTCATCAAATGATTTCTCCATTTCCTAAGATTGGAAACATTGCAGAGTCCTTATAAATTCAAGACAAGAAATTGGGGCAGCAACATGCCTCTACTCTGTTTTCCTACAGGAGGGGACACTGATGAGACTTGGGTACCAATATCACAAGTGTGCATTCGTGCTGTGTCAGAACCAGTAAAAGGATGGGACAAGAATAACAGGTGGCCTTAGAATGGCCAAAGGTGCACTAAGCAGGATGGAGCCTGGGAGTCCCCCTCTGCAGGAACTATGATTTCTCATCACGCCTTACCCTGAACAGCAGCCTCTTGGCAGCAACACTCAGCTTGGCTCGTTCATCTACATTTTCTTCATCTGTAAAAAGCCACAAGATAAAAACTGAACATCATTAGCAAACATAAGTAAAGTCCCCGGAAAGTTTGCCAAGACTGACCCAGAAATCCTCCGAATACAAGAACAGGTGTATTAAAATAAAAACTGGCAGTACTTTCCTCTTGGAGGGAGCCCATTCTTTGTGCTCAGTGAAAAGGTACTATTTTCCATTGCCATTCAAACCAAACCAAACCAAACTCTGTCCAGACAGTGATCACTACTATAATATTTGACTACTTGAGATTTAAGAATAGATTTTTTTTTCCTTTTTTTTTTTTTTGTCTTTTTTCGTGACCAGTAACGGGATCGCAACCCTTGGTGTCGCGCCCGCACCGTGCTCAACCAGTGAGCGGACCGGTCTCTATATGGGATCCGAACCCTCGGCGGGAGCGCCGCTGCGCTCCCAAGCGCCGCACTCTACCGAGTGCGCCACTGGGCCGGCCCAAGAATAAATTTTTATGGAAGAAATTTCTCTTCTTTTTAAATAGCAGCAGCACCAGAAAAACCTGCTTCTTTGGTTTGAGTCAGTTGTTTTTATAGTGTTCACTCTGTGATTCTCTAACTCTCTCAAAAATAAGAAAAGCTCACGAGAAAATTTCAACTAGATTTTATAATATTCTCAGAAAGAAAACCTGCAGAGAAGAAACTGATATGCTTCATAAACTTATTCTCTCAAAAAGCCAAAAATCTTATGATTTAAATCTAATCTAGATGAGATAATAAAGAAGAAAAAGGAAAGCAGATACTTGCCCTCAACAGATGGCATTTCTGAATTTGAAGTACACCTAGGAAAGACATTAGCAAATAATAATAAAAAGTTAGCTGGTGGGAGTAGAAGACCTAAATAAAACATCATATTAAAAGTAAAAGTGAAAATGCAATTAAACTCTCTTAAAGAATATGATCCTGGTGGCAATTCTTGTTGTGGATGAATACACATGTACAGTTGTCAACTGACACTGTGGAGCACATGTGTACACAAGCCCAGCCAAGTGCACACCTTGTGGGACAAATCTACGATCAAGTACAATTCATTACTTGACTGATGATAAACTTTTAGACAAGCCTTATCATTTCTATGCGATACTAGCATATGACAATTTAATATAACACTCAAAATAACAAGTAGGCAAGCATTTATAAAATGAATATAAAATTCCTGAGTTATTTTCACTGTAATATCTAATTAATACGCCATTTGGATTCTAATTTAATAAGAGCATAAAAAATTTAAAACATTAAATGAAGAAAAATTTTTCTTACTTCTGAATGCAGTTTAAAATTGTGTATTGTGATAATACTGTAAAGGTCAACATTCTTTAAAAATGCATTTAAATAAGCCAAATAGATATCCATTACAGATTACATGGAAGAATTATGGAATTGCCAACACCCTACACAAACAGCATCTGGACCATCAGTGTGGTAAAAATCCTGTATTATTGCTTTTACGTTCCTAGACTATGGAACTACATACGCACATGCCTACCTATCCGATTCCTTTCGTTCTGCTGAGGTTATAGGTTGAGTTCTAAATCTCTCAGAAGTTTTTCTACTTTCACCAGGAGTAAAATATCGTCTTGGTTTCCGGGACCCTCTCTCCCGTTCCACACTGGTAGGCAAGCCAACTCCTTCGGTTGACCTCTGAACCCGTGATTGGCTTTTAGAATCATAGGGCAGAGAGTATACAGAAGGGAAACGGGGAGACAGAGAAAGAGAATAAAGCAGAGGTTTACGCATCTCAGTGAGTCAATGCACAGACACCGCTCAGTCCCTTTGCATGCCTCTACCATGCACGGAAGGAGGTGGAACATTCCAGTGACCCAATCCTCCAGCTCCCCATTAGTAGGCGGAAGCAGAATGGTAGTGTTTGAGCCATTTCCTGTATAGTCTGCCCTGCACACACTTGTGAGCTAAGCTAATATGATTCAATGCAGGACACAACACAAGTCGAGAAGTGAATAATTCTGCCAAGGACGTGCAAGTGACACATCAGGAGGACGTTGGAAACATCACCTACAGTTCAGGTTTCGTGCTGGCCCTGGCAGACTCCAGAAATGCATTTCGGAGTTGGGCGACAGAGACCTTTGTGTCCAGCATGCCAATTTCTGCAGAGGGCCCTTCAGCCTTGGAACTCTGCTGCTCCAGCTCTCGCTTGGAAATTGGCTCCCTGTATTTCAAGGCCTGAAGCTGAGGGGGACCCGTGTAATCAGACAACGAGCGGGTGAGAACCTTGTGTTTCTTCGCAGATGCTTCTTTTTTGTGACTGGTCAATTGGGCATCTTGGGAAACGGGCTCCCTCTGAACATACAAAACCGTTTTGCTCCTGCCCATTCTCTCAGTGGGCTGGTGCTGAGCTTGAGGTGGGTGTGACGTACTTTCTGGTTCCTTCTGATGTTCTAAGGTGATTGTGCTCACAGCAGGCTTACCCAAGTCCTCACTTCCAGAGGGGTCTTCGTGGCTTCTGGAGAACCCATCATCCTCCAAAGTCAAAACCGTTTTCTCACTTTTCTCGAGAGCATCAGTGAAGAGCACATCTCCTGCTTCTGATTCACAAATATGCAGAACTGGGGTGTCCCTTCTCTCACCTTCTTGAACCTTCAAGGTGGGAGGCTGTATGACATTCTGGGTGGCTTCTCCCACCCAGCTGTACTCAGACACATTTTCTGGGGTTTCTGTGGCCACCAGCTTGGCAGTGTGACCGGGATCTGCTGGCTGGACATAGCCACGGATCGGCTGTCGTGCAGAGCTGGCTGCTTTCCCCGTGACCCTATCAAAGGCCGAGTTTTCTGACTGAAAGGACAGGTAATGGACGGACACTGGCTGATGTCTCCTCTGAGTTAAGGACTCGGAGGCGAGTTCAGGGCTGCTGCGAGCACTCTCCTCTTTCACCAATTTTTCTCTAACTTTAACTCTTTAAGAAAGAAAAAGGATTTAAGTTGCAAAGTGCAGTAACCGCTTAACGGGAAGAAAGCATGCATGGATCACAGATTACCAGTGAATGGAAATCCACCCAAAGAGAGAACAACTTGTGAAAAAGCATTTTGGTGTTCAATGTCAGAAACCCACTACTTGCCAGATGAATGATTTTGAGTTAAGTTGCCAAATTTACATATGTATGCCAGTGTGATACAAAACTAACCCTACCCCCTGTAAAGTTGAGAGTGGTCAGATGCTACCCTGGGACCAAATCAATACCCAGAAGCCACAGAAAAACTCATTAATATATACCACCAGTATGCATTAGGGCACACTGATACTGGTGCCTTGGATCAGTAAGCTTTCTGGTGTACAGGCCCAGTATAAAGACTGAAGAGGAGTTTCCAAGCATACATACACCTATTGACCAAATGTTGTGATTTCACTGTCTCCTGGAAATGTAAGAGCATTTGTGATTATTTATGCTTTTTATTGAGCTCAAGATACAACAATAAATCACCCCTTTTGAAGCACCCAACTAAACATTCACAAGCTTTTTCATGCAATGCAGACTATATTCATTCATTCATAAGACACGTGACCAGTATGGACAAACCACTGTAGCACCAAACAATGTTAGAGAAAAGATATTTGTTGAAAGAATTAATGAAGGGAACTACCCCCTCCCATTTCTATTATGCACTTGGCTAAAACCTAATTTAAAAAGAGATTACCCTAGATGTTTGTAGAATTATTTAAATATCTGAGAGAAAAAGTGAAATCCATTTCAAATGCTACAGACCTTTTTCCATTACTGCAGAAGCGAAGTAGCCAAGAGCTCTGGCTATGGGGTCCTAAGGGACCTCTGTTCAAACCCTGGCTCAGCCAGCTCTAGCTGTGTGGTCTTGGGCAACTTACCTGCCGTCCTTAATTCTCAGTTGTTTTATCTTTTAAATGGAAATAATAGTGACTTAACGTAATGTGATGTTTGCAAAACCCATGGCTTAGTGCTTAGCAAAGAGTAAACATTTAATAGTGTTATCTAGCTCTTATTTTTACTTTTTGGAATACCATATATTGAGAAAAGAGAAACTGTTCGAACTGTTTGAGAGTGGATTACTGATTGGGGTAATCTTTAAAAAGTAAAGAATGCTTTTGGAGCGGGAAAAGTGATTTCATGGGGAAATGTAGAAACTTTACGTGCTTAAGATTAGTCAGCAAAATTAATTGTTTATGACATATACTTTATGTAAAAGAATAGTTTCTGTAATGACAAGTATACACTGCTAAATTTGATATAAGCTTCTGTTATGTTTTTAAATATAAGATGCTTTATTTGATTATCATTATGATTATCAACATTACATATACCTTATTAAAGAAAAATCAGCTACAGATAAAATGTAGTTACTATGAACAATTCAGGGGAAAAAAGCATTCCGAGTTGTTATCATTCCAGAGACTAGCCAGTGTTGGAGGTTTTATATTTATAACTTTTGTTAATCAAAAGAAGACTGAAATGTAGTCCAAGTTCTCTTGTGGAATGTGTGCGTCTAATCAGAGACAATCTAAATGTTGTCCTCAGCTGAGAACAAAGTGACTGTTAGAAACTCAACATGTGGGTGCTTTGTCTTTCCAATGACTTATTCATTCTTACTTCTTCTCCCTCTTCCTGCCCCCAATCTTAAAAATGAAATGACAGGGGTTTTTGTCTCCTTTCAAAACCACATGCCCTAAATTTAACTGTTGAAAATTAACTACTGGTTTAGAGTGGAGGAGACATGAAAACAAGGAAGCTGCAAGTGTCGCGCGTAGGGGGCTACTGGCAAGACGGGCCACGGCCAGTTAGTCTCACTCAAGAGGTGAGCAATCAAGAGCGTGGTTAGGTGCTTGCTACTGCCCCCAACTGGCCGATTCTACACACATTGGTGAGAAAGGGGAAAACCAGCAGGTGTAGTAAAAGGATTATTATCAGAAGGAGGGAAAAAAGAGGAAGAAGGAGAAATATTATTAGCACAGATCAGGGCAATTGGAGGAGAAAAGCAAATGATTAGAAAGTCACTTCCTGCGGACCCTTTTTGGACACATGACTTTCAAATGCACCTGCCATTAACAAGAGGGCAAGAGAAGGGTTAGCATTAGCTAATGTGCAGAAGAGCAAGACAAGTGAGAAGGGGAAGAAGCATTCACTACACATAAGCCACAGAGTTTCCACTTGAGATATACCTGGAAGGCCAGTTGATAAGCGAAGGTGTGTCCCCTTCGGAATCTTTCTGGAGAAACCACTCATGTTTGAGTTTCCCTGTACTACCATGCACAAAAAACAAAACTTCAGATCATTCCTATTAAAATGTTAATTAAAATATACACGGCTTTATTGCAATCTAAAATCTACAGGATGATTGTTGTCAAGAATAATCCTGGCTTTTGAAAACGTATATGCACATTTGCCATAGGGTTTATATTCACTTCGTGGAAATTCCAAGACATTGGCTCACTACTAAAAACAAAAGATGGAAATAAATATACCTAAGTATTTTTCAAGTAATTTTAAATTATTAGAATGGAGTCTGTTATAGTCACACTGTGACCACAAAAACCAGACAATTCTCTTACAAGAAGCTGGACTAAAAATCTAAGGCAACTTAACTTCCATAAGTTGGTAAATAGCCAAGTATAAAAATAGTCTCCATGCAAAGCAATATCCATCGAATAAAGGAAATGAATAAAAAGAAATAAAAATAAATTCAATGAGATCTTTAGTTGCTAATATATATTTTCCTTTTATATTTATCACTGAATAATGCCCTAACACAACAGTTACAAGTATTAATTCAAGTCTGCTCAACAGATGCTTATCGAGCTTCTGTTAAGTGAGGAAGATGAATCAGGCATCATACCAGCCATTAAAAACTTTATATCATTGTAGGCAAGATAATATGTGATTTACGCATTCATTTCTCAACACACAATTGAATAGAATACAAAGGAGAATATGACAAAGTATTTATGCCAGGCTGAAGATGTTTTAGAGAAAAATCACAGATAAGGAAAACCTTGTGGTAACAATGTAAAGCAAGTCACAGGAAGAATATTCAATCTACTGACCTGTATCCTCTTACAGCGTAGAGAGAAAAATCAGAAATTCTAAAGGCTAGTACCAGCTGAAAACCTTATGAACCTATCTGCAAGAGTTCTTCAGTACCAGGCTGGAAACACGTTTTGGCTTAAAACAATTTCCAAAAGAGTAGAATGAGAATTATAATTAAATTAATTTTCTAAAATCATTTTAGTTTGAGTTTTGATTCAAGCTGACAGGCAAGAACCTGCACACTACTGTACATCTTGCTGTAACCACTGAAATCTGTCATATTCCGGGCTTGGACTTAATCTGTTTCTCCAACAAAATCCTTCCGTCTTTCTACACCCAAAACTATCACCCCACCTCTCAATCCCCAGCATTACAGCAATTCTGCCTGTAGGAAATGCAAAATTAAGATTTACTCAAAGCCATTTTATTTCCAACTATAAAGAGTCCAATTTCTCAACATTTATTTGAACACAGCTGCATACTATCTGCAGCTAAAAAAGGAGGCAATAGAACTTAGCACAGTATGTGGGGAGAAAAGGAGCAGCTAACCCCTGCTTTTGAAAATGGTATCACTTAATACAACTAATATTCCTACCTCACAGAGTCATTTAAGGCTCAAATGGTTTTCGTATAATAGAGTGCTTTGTAAACTATGAAGTACTATACAACTTCTTGAATATGACCTTCACTGACAAGAATAAAATTTGGTCAGCATCACCGTTAAAAATTATCAGGGGCTTTTTAAGAATGTTGGGTCAGCATTTATCAAATGAAAATCCTACTCAGACACGGGGGGACTTGCTGGGCTCCAGTTCTTCATGAAAACCAAGATATGGAACGAGCCAAAAAACTTACAACTACTACCCAGGTAGTGAATAGTCAAAGTTTGACATTTCATATATAATAAATACAAATGTATGTAACAAAAACTAAACAAAAGTATATGAAGGCATCACGCCCAGAACATGGCAAACCCTTCAAAATGCCAGTCTCCTCCTCTTCTCCCTTCTTCACAGACAACATGTGTTTGAATGTTTATGAGTTACTATTTTCATGTTTTAAAGAGACGATAGATAGACTCAGTTCAGGAATCATGTGATTTTAAGAATGGGTCCAGCTTCACCAGAAAGGCTTGAGTTTAGTAAATTTAAAGCAGGAGTCATTTAGAACAGTATTTCTCCCAGTAAGGCTTTCAGTGAGGTGATGAGGTTGGCTGAGGCATGTATCTGGGTGAAGTTTTCTGCCATCAACAGAAAAGAGAGGGGAAGAGGGAGGTGCTAAATTTAATCAAGCACTTACGTGCACAGGCTGTCCTGGCCACTACACATCTCCTGTCTTGCAGAGTGCAGTCACTTCCTCAGTGGTGCCAGCGGCGTGTGATGCCAGCAACTGCCCCCTTCACCTGCCTCCTACCCCTTCCTCGTCCCTCTGTGTTGGTTCCTCCTCACCAGCTCCACCAGAGAGTGCCCCAGGGCTCCCTTGACATTTCCACTTAGGTATCGAATAGATATGTTACATGTAACACATCCAAAAAATGAATTCTTTGTTGCCCTCCAAACAAGACTGGCACTGTCCCTATTACGTCCCTATTTTCGTAAATGGCAAATCCCTGCTTGGAGTTGCTCTGGCCAAAAAATGGAGACTCACCTTTGACTCCTGTTTCTTTCATACCCCACATCTAAGGCACTGGCAAATTCTCCTGGCTGCCTTCAGAATATAACCTCTTTTCATTGCCTCTGGCACTCTCCTTCTAGCTTGAGCCACCATGTCTCTCCCCTACAATACTGAGACAGCCTCCTGGTTATCCTACCTGTTCCTGCCCTGGCGCACCTGAAGCCTATTTTCAGTTTAGCAGCCAGAGTAATGCTTTGAAACTGGAAGGCAAACTGGTCATTCCTCTTTTTGAAACCCTCATAAGGCTCCACATATCATTCATAGTAAAACTCAAAGCCCTGGCGATGGCTCCAGGCCCTCCCTCATCCACACATCTCACCAACCCCACTCCTGTCACCCTCCCCGCTGGAACATCTTTCTCTCTTCACTAGGACACATGAGCTTCTTGAGAGAAGAGACTTTGTCCACTGTTGTATCATGTGGCAAATAGCAGGTCTCAAATATTTGTGGAATTGATGAATGGTTGAAGAATATTCTCCACAACAACTCTATAAGGTACTCTTACCCTTGTTTTATAGATGGAGAAAGTGAGGTGCAGAAAGAGGTATACTAACTGTGCAAGATCACCCAGCTGGTAAGAAAAGAATGGGGCTCGGACCCAGCGCTATGTGACCTCCACGCCTACATTTTCTACTCCTCCAGAACCCAAAGCTTCTGCATTCTGGAAAAAGACTGCCTCCTTGGCTTGAATGGGTATAGTGTGGTTGACATGCCAGTGTTCATGTGCTCCAAGGCTAGGCAAGGAAAACACCAAGGACTTCCTGGTCACACCCAAAACCCTGACCAGACTTTGCTCTCTTCCTCTAGTGCCTGTTTCACCTCCAAGCAGAGTCATCCAATGACCTACAAACCCTGCCAAAACCCAATTACCTTCTTCCTTTGTTGCTCCAACATACAATATAAAATCAAAAGATTCAGGCAGTGGAAGGTTTTGGACTGAATCTCACACCTTGGAGTACAGCCTGATTTCAATGCTGAGGGGTGCCCAGACAGCATTGCTTTGGAGAAGCAGTATAATAGCAAGTGAGTTTTTAAAAATAAGAACAAAATAGAGATCACATCTGAACAGTGGAAATTATTTTTCTCTTCATTTTTTAAAAATCTTGCATGGATGCTGTTATTTTATGAAGTGTCTTTTAATGTTAGACTTACCTACTTTTGATGACTAATTAAGGTTTGGTTAAAAAATTAACAGTGAGAAAAGATATGCTTTGTCCAACAGAAAGAGTTGAACATATGATACCGGCAGACAGCTAAGGTAGATCCTTGCAGAGTCAAGAATCAGTGTTGGTGGACAGAGGCACAAGAGGGGATGAAAACGTTTTATATCTTGACTGGGGTAATGGTTAAACATTTACCAAAACTCATCAACCTGCATCCTTAAAATCTGTGCATTTGATGTAAATTATACCTCAATTTAAAAATATGTCATCATTGGATTATAGAGTGAGAACTTCTTGAGTAATGAAAAGGGAGAAATGCAGAGTTTTCTTGGGGCGAAAGCAGCATAAACAAGTGAAATATAAATTTCTTCCATTCTCTGTCTGTGCTCATCTCAGTGCTGAATGCCTGAACACAGTAAGCTCAGCTGAGGAAGGAGGATGGCAGAAGGTATGTGCAGACAGACAGAAGTATCAGGAAAGTGCTGGAATCTGAGGAAGGTGCTACATGAAGGCATCCTACGCGGATCAAGTTTCTGGTTGCCAATTGTATTTGGATTCCCATGTCTCCTGCTTGGATTCAAACCACCACTCCTAGAATAAGGTAATCCAGGGACTTGGCAGCTCTAGTCATGAACGAGCCTAGAATTGGCCTTTCAGGGCAGGGGATGGAATTTACAAGGCCCCAAAAGCAGTCAATGATTTTTTGCTCACTTATCACAATTCCTTACTTATGGTTTAATAATATTTATCAGAACACTGACTCAAGACCATATACAAGAATTCCAACCTCAGACAAAGTAGAAAGAGCCTTATAGTATAAACAAGTGCTATTCACAGTGTGTTAGGCTGACTGGTGTCACTGGTCCATGATTAGATAAAAAGTTTGCACCGGAAAGGAAATTAACATCACTAAGACGGCTGTTTAGTTCAGCTGCTATTTTCTTCACAGCATGACTTTCTAGATGAAGGGAACAATCCATGATTTACATTCAGGTTTAACTCTCTTATAGGTAGTGGACTAGTAAACAGTTTACAGGTTGGCTCTTTCAAATAGCACTGCTATAGTTTGGTGGCACTTTAAGAAAACATAGAGCATTCAAAAATGATTGTTGAGTCACTTGGCACGTGCTAGATGTGGGCACTAGCAGGGAAGGAGATATAAAAATGACTAAGATGAGTTACCTACCCTTCCCTTAAAGACTCTACTAAAGAAGTGCTAGCACTGAAATCATCCTTACCAATTTTACAGGTTAGCATAACACCAAATTCACGGTACTGTGTTTGGGGGAATCCTGATAAAATTGCTAAAATCCTCTTCTGGGTAAGACAGGCTTATTCTAGGGTGTTCGGTATTTGAATATCCTTCTTCCTAAGACATG